AAAAACAGACCCAGTATGAATTAGGCACGAGACGTTGCGCATGGTTCTTTTTTATTTGATTTTTATTGTGGCCTAATTTGTGTCATTTCGGGCTTTGAAGGATGAATAACTCCCATGGTTGCTACTGATTGCTGTTTTGTTTAAATTAATTATGAACGTTGGTTTCGACAAGTCCAACATTATTTCAACCAAATTAGCGTTTCTTTTAAAATTGATTCCAAAAAATAATGTGCTACTCATCAATATCGTAGCAAGATAACCATTCAAGCTTACGAGAAATAAATCGGGCTATGGTGGAAGATCCAGGTTCAAGACAGCCTTTACAGCCGTCTGACCTGTCAAGCATCAGAAATCCAGCTCGTCCACCTTCCCCGTCTGAGCTCCCGGGCCGGGAGACCTAGCTTAGAACAGTAACGGATGGCTGCGCCTGATATGAGCCGCTCCAGCAAACACCAGGGAGGGATGAAAGTAAACTTTTGGAAGTTTTGCTCGAGAAGGACACTCGCTCCCGGTCGCCCTCGATGCCACGAACCTCTGCCGAGCTGTTGCGGTGTCTTCTGCGGCAACTAAACTCATCGTCGCCGGCACCGAACAGGCTCCCGCTACCTCTCCTAGATCCCATGACTCTGTCATGACTCGGACTGAATGGAACCAACCGCTACTCCATTCGCCCCGCTGGACCCCACGGCACAAAAGGACCTATCCTATATCGAACGGCAGCTTGGCCGGGGAGACTCATTTCCAGACCAAAGAAATTTGACGGGAAGACAAGAAACTAAACTCTTAAGTCGACATGTTCCATGTGCAAGATAAATTTGTGGCGGGAAACCACGGCGGGTACCTATGTGTGAGCAAAAAGCAAACCTTGTTTAGGTCAAGCTAATCGAGACCCTAAACGTGCATGATGACATGAAAAGAGTCATAAACAACGGGCTCTTATTTCTCGGAGTTGAGTTGCGTCAATGCTTATATCTTTGTTAGTGTGGTAATTGTCTGCAAAGCACATAAGAACCTACAACATAGAACATGCATGTCTTTTCTGTTTTCTTTTAGCCACTTCTTAGATTTTCGATAAAAATCATGTTTTTATTACTTAAAACCACATTAAAACATGTTACGCAGTATGATTAAGATTATCGGTTTAAGGTTTTCATTATATAGAGCGATTATACCAGTAAAACGTCTTTGGAGCTGACAAACGAGCGAGCACGAGAGTTGAGCTCATCAAGCGAGGAAGTGCGAAACAATACCTATTCCAACTGACTTGTGCGGGACACGCTACTAACCAGTCCGTAACAGTGTACTTTAAATTTGAGCGCAATCGGACCACCCGTTCTCGAGATGTAGAAGCAGCAGTCTGCACGTGCGCACGTGCATACTGGACCCCAACTGACTTGTGTGGGACACCCTTCTAGTCGATCTCTAACGGTGTACCAAAGTTGAGAGCAATCGGCCCAGCCGTTCTTGAGATGTGGAAGCGGTCCCTGCACGACGCACGTGCGCACGTGCAGTAGGACCCCAAATGTGAAACGTTGAAATGCATTGTCCGGTGGACGCCTACCGCCTACCGACATATGAAGCTCCAGCGCAATCGGCCCAGCATTTACCTAGTCGTTGTAATGAGAGCGAATCTGACACCTCTTCATTTTGCACGTGGCACGTGCAGGGGAAGGGGCAACAAACATGCATCGAGAGTACATAGTCTGGTATGGGAAGAAGATACCAAAAAAGACTATGGGTCGATCGCCACAGATTTGGCTGAGATATGAGCCTATCAAAATCGTTACTTTGACCGAGCGAAACAACTATGAAACCCTTGACTTCACACGTGCCACGACAGTCACCTCGATGCATCATGAGTAGTCAATTTCGAGCTGGAAGGGATGGGGATGAGGCTATACCTAACAAAAAAAGACCATAGGTCAATCGGCCCAGCGGCTGCTGAGATAAAAGCCTCGCATAAGCGTTACGAGCTGCGCCAAACCGGGCCGGGCTGCTCATGCTCAGACTTGTAAGCTATTTAGAAAATCGCAATTCGCTCTCGCTGGTAAAAAAAAAACACGCACACATTTAAAAGATATTTGGTGAGGCAGACCGACGGCCTGACGCCTGACGTCTGGCGTCTGGCGTCCCATACGGTCTGATCAGGCCGAGCGTCCGACGTTCAACTTTGGCCTGAACGCCTGATTGGGCCTGATCTGGCCTGATGTGGCCTGATGTGGCCTGAAGCAACCTCATAGTCGGAACCGGGCTTAAGCAAATTGACCACGGTAAAAAATGCATTACCAGAATGCACTTAAGCCGACATTTTGGGATGGTCTCGTTTCTAAGTCGGCTAAGAGCTTCGGTCCAGAAAATAAATTTATCGTTGGCATACAGTAAAATGCATACCAAACTCGGCCGGTGATAAATTTTGAAGACCTCAGTCCTTACTGATTTTTGAACTCGGCCTTCGGCCTCGTTCAAAAATCCAGTAAGGACCTCGGTCTTGAAAATTTATTTACACCGGCCTCGTTCAGTATTATATACCAGTAAAACGCCTTTTGGGCGAAGAACGAGCGAGCGAGATAGTGAGCCCTGCACGTGCGGAAGGGCGAGAGGGTGCTTCCAACGGGCTTGCGCAAAGCACCCTTCTAACTGGTCGCTAGCGGTGTGCCAAATTTGAACGCAATCGGCCCAGCCGTTCCTGAGATCTGGAAGCGGCATTCTGCACGTGCGCACGTGCAAACGGGGTCCAAAATGACTTTCGCACGGCACCCTACTAACTGGTCCCCAACCGTGTACCAAATTTGAGCGCAATCGGCCCAGCCGCTCTCGAGATCTGAAAACGCCCCCTGCACGTGCGCACGTGCAGTAGCACCCTAACCGCAACACATGGGAATGCATTGCCTGGTGGATGCCTACCTGTATGCCAAGTTTCAGCGAAATCGCCCCAGTGATTACCGAGTTACTGAAATGGGAACAAATTTGGCACCTCTTATTGTTGTATTTTGCACGTGCACTGGGGGTGACCCACATGCATCGAGAGTATCCTATTTTGGGTAGAAGGGATGCTGCTACCCTATAAAAATTACCGCAAGTCAATCGCCCAAGCGGCTGCTGAGATATGAGCCTCTCAAAATCACTACTTTTGCAAAACAGCTTGAACACCCTTGACTTTTCACGTGGCACGTGCCACGACGGTCACTGAGATGTATCAAAAGTAGTCAATTACGGGGTAGAAGGGATGGGGCTACCCAACAAAAAAGACCGCAGGCCAATCGGTCCAGCGCTTGCTGAGATATAAGCCTCTCAAAAGCGTTACAGGCCGGGCCGGGTGGGGCCGCTCATACTGAGATTTTTCCGTTATATTGAAAAGACTCACTTCGCTCGCTGCGCTCGCTCGCTCGTAATTACCAGTTAAACGCCTTTTGGGCGAAGAACGAGCGAGCAAGATAGTGAGCCCTGCACGTGCAGAAGGGCGAGAGGGTACTTCCAACAGGCTTGCGCAAAGCACCCTTCTAACCGGTCGCTAGCGGTGTACCAAATTTGAACGCAATCGGCCCAGCCGTTCCTGAGATCTGAAAGCGGCATTCTGCACGTGCGCACGTGCAAACGGGGTCCAAACTGACTTTTGCACGGCACCCTACTAACTGGTCCCCAACCGTGTACCAAATTCGAGCGCAATCGGCCCAGCCGTTCTCGAGATCTGGAAGCGCCCCCTGCACGTGCGCACGTGCAGTAGCACCTCAACCGCAACACATGGGAATGCATTGCCTGGTGGGTGCCCACCAGTATGCCAAGTTTCAGCGAAATCGCCCCAGTAATTACCGAGTTATTAAAATAGGAACAAATTTGACACCTCTTATTGTTGTATTTTGCACGTGCAATGGGGGTGACCGACATGCATCGAGAGTATCCTATTTTTGGTAGAAGGGATGCTGCTACCCTACAAAAATTACCGCAAGTCAATCGCCCAAGCAGTTGCTGAGATATGAGCCTCTCAAAATCACTACTTTTGCAAAACAGCTTGAACACCCTTGACTTTTCACGTGGCACGTGCCACGACGGTCACTGAGATATATCAAAAGTAGTCAATTACGAGGTAGAAGGGATGGGGCTACCCAGCAAAAAAGACCGCAGGCCAATCGGTCCAGCGGTTGCTGAGATATAAGCCTCTCAAAAGCGTTACAGGCCGGGCCGGGTCGCTCATACTGAGATTTTTCCGTTATATTGAAAAGACTCGCTTCGCTCGCTGCGCTCGCTCGCTCGTAATCAGTATCATCTTTTGAATATGTACAGATCCATGAACGATTTATGCAGGCTGGTGCAGAAGTGCTACTTGCTTACAGTTCTACACCGCTTCGTCCAACATTCATCAAGCAGTCATCACTGACGATGATAAGGGGAAACGGCCAAAATCCCACGCCCACACACAACGTGTGGCCACTCCCCTGTCCCTGACAACCTGTTGCATCAATAAAAAAAAAAACAATTCTAACGAATAGTGCTTGTCTATTTCAAACAACCTACGGTTATTTACAGAACGGTAGCTTTCGCGCCGACTTGTTCTAGGCACGTCCTGTGTACCGAAGACCGACGTTCACAACCAGTATGACGCCTTTTGACAAACGGCGACCGCAATAGCATGTGCATTGTGCAGAGTGGCCCCCTCCCCCTGCACCGTTCTAGAACGGAACGGTGTCTCAACTGAGCGCAATCAACCCATTGTTCTTGAGATGTAAAATCTACATCTCAAGAATCTACAACTACATCTACTTTGTAGATGCAGCCCCTGCATTTCCGTATATAAGCAAAGTGGGCCTGAAGTGTTGTCACTAAAAAACAAGTCTGGCGCTCAACTAAGAGCTATCGCTCACTACTAGCTCCGTTTTGTTTTAGCAGCTTTTATCGACAGCTATTTCGTCAGTTCATCGCCATTCTCTACGTCTGATCAGCCGGTGATCTCCCCGTGGGTTTCGCCTTTCCCCTCTAACCCCATCACCCTCTCGCTGCTGCAGGTTTCTGGGCGAGGACGGCCGCGAGATAGCGCTCTCCTCGGTCCCCCAGCCGGACAGCGGCGCCGCCTACCGGCTGGCCAGCTACAACGACCCCAGTCAGCCGAACGTCAGCCTGGGCAACATCCCGCTGCCGGACCGGGCGGCGCCCGGCCAGCCGCCGCCGCCGCCGCCGCCCCCGCCCGAGCCCGTCATCACGCTGCCGCCACGCTGGAGGATAGCCAAGGACGACAACGACCGTATTTACTTTTACCATCAGGTGGGAGGACCATGGCGGGCGGAGTGACGCGGGGCGAATCAATGGGTATCGAAAATGTGGCTTTGACGATAGTTACTTTGCCGTTTTGTCACACGTTGTCATTTTTTATTACAGATTACCCGTCAAACATATTGGTCAAACCCCCTCTCGCTGTACTATAACCTCTCTCCGCTCTCTCCCAGGTGACCCGTCAGACGCAGTGGAGCTCCCTCTCTCTCTCTCTCTCTCTCTCTCTCTCTCTCTCTCTCTCTCTCTCTCTCTCTCTCTCTCTCTCTCTCTCTCTCTCTCTCTCTCTCTCTCTCTCTCTCTCTCTCTCTCTCTCTCTCTCTCTCTCCTCTCCTCTCCTCTCCCCGCTCGCCCTCTCCCAGGTGACCCGTCAGACGCAGTGATCAGACCCCCAGCTCTCGCTGTACTCTAACCTCCCTCCGCTCTCTCCCAGGTGACCCGTCAGACGCATTGATCAGACCCCCAGCTCTCGCTGTACTCTAACCTCCCTCCGCTCTCTCCCAGGTGACCCGTCAGACGCATTGATCAGACCCCCAGCTCTCGCTGTACTCTAACCTCTCTCCGCTCTCTCCCAGGTGACCCGTCAGACGCAGTGGTCAGACCCCTCTCTCGCTGTTACCTCTAACCTCCTCTCCCCGCTCGCCCTCTCCCAGGTGACCCGTCAGACGCAGTGGACGCCGCCGGTTAGCGCCGACTGGATCCCCCCGCCTGGTGCCGTCACCGTCCAGCAGTCGCTATGGACGGCCGGCGGCTCCAGTGCCGACTCGTCACCCACTGACGGCGGCAGCTCCAGTGATAGCTCCAGTGACAGTAGCTCCAGCAGCGAGGATGAGGTTAGACCGCGCCGGCAGACAGCGCTGGGTGGGGTGGGCGGCCGAGGGCGGGTTTTGGTGGAGATGATTGGAACGATCGCGCCTGCGTTTACACCATTTGCGATATTCATAGTGACTGGTAAGAAGTGTCCCAGATAAGCTGTTATTTGTATAGCGGGATATTCACAAGTTCGCGTGCGTGCCTGTTCGTTACTTTAGAAAGATGTGAAATATGGAAAACGTAGTATTCGCTCGCGCTCTTTTCTCTCCCTTGTTTTCATAAAACTTATCATGGCATTCTCAATCTTCGGAATCGCTCTGGTTTCGTTTTAAGAACCACCGGGGCGCCGTCTCGCCGCGCGCTGACCGGTGCTGTCCTCCCGCCCCCCTCCCTCAGAGTAAGCCCGGCGATGAGGAGGACGAGCCCGTGGCCAACGAGCTTCCCGAGGACATGGCCAAAGAGGAGGATATTGACCGGCGGCGGATGGTCGACCAGCACCGACGGCGGCGCGGCAAACGGCGTGACCGGCTCGTCCAGGAGCGGATCATCAGTGTGAGTGGGGAGCGAGGGGCTCGGAGGGCTGGGCCGACTCGGCGGTGTGGGCTCCTCTGCCTGTTCCTGGGCTTGTGAGATTTTTTGCGTAAGTGAGATTCCGTGCATGCGTGCTTTTTGTTGATGATTGTAATTACGGATGCTAGCGTGTGTACCTATTTATGACCGAACTTTTGTTTCAATCTCCCATGTGTTGTACGTCTGCGATCGATTGATCGCCCTTCCTAAGAGTATTATCTCTTTCTCTTTGAAATTATCTAGACTGTTTTGTTGTCGCCTCATCCTCTCGCAACGCTGTCCGTCTCTAACCACCTCTGCCCCCGTCCCGTCCCTGCTCACAGCCGGTGCCGGAGATGAGTAAACAGGAGATGCGCCGGGAGCGACACCGACTGAAACGGGAGGCCAAGGCCGAGGCGCGGAGAGAGCGCCGGCTGGACCCCGAGTCGGCGCCGCGCGGCCCGCGGCCCCGGCGCCGGCGGCCGGCCCCGCCGCCGGTCGACTCGCCCACCGGTGACCCGGAGCCGCCCGACGCCGCCGAGGGAGCCGACCCGGAGACGGAGCCGGAGCCGGCCGCAGCGGAGCCGCCGGAGCCGGCCGCCGCCGAGAACACCCCGCCGGGCGACACGGAGCAGCCGCCGGACCAGAGCCGCAGGGAGAAGGAGGAGCGGATACGCCGCTTCAAGGCCAAGGAGGAGGCGCTGCGGAAACACCAGGCCAAGAAACAGGAGGCGTGAGTATGACGGGGAGGGGAACAGGGTTGAGAGATGAGCTCCGATTCACCAGATGACGTGCGATGTGCGCCTGAAAGACATTGCAAAAATGGCTTGGATGATGGTCTATGTAGTCTGGATTGCTTTGGAGCCGTTTGGAAATAGGCCGCGCACTCACTGGTAAAGCGCTATGCTTGAATACTCAGTTTGTCCTCAGCCTGCTAAGAGTATTTTCCCATTGATTCTGGCTTAGGACGATAAGTAACATAAAACTCTCCCGCTCCGCCCTCACAGCAGGGCGCGGAGAAAGCGCAAGGCGGCCGCCGCTGCTGCCGCGGCAGCCGCTGCCAGCTCCTCAAAGAAGCGCAAAATAGAGGTGAAGCGAGTATCGAGCTCGGCGGCGGTGTCCGGGTCGTCGTCGTCGGTGGCAGCCTCTTCCTCGTCGTCGTCGTCCTCTTCGAGCCGGAAGGAGAAGCCGACGACGGCAGCGGCGGACACCAGCTCCGAGGTGGCGCGGAAGGTAAGCGGCTAAGCGCAGAGGGGGCGAGCAGCTCGATCTCTGCAGCTGAGTGACTGGACACCTGCCTGCTGGACAGGTGGCGGTACATTGCCCACATTGTTGCTCACCGTTTTAAAACTTGATTTGGTTTTCGAAAACTTGTGCAGCTCGAGCACCTTGTTTTGTGTGTGGGTAGAAGGCGTTCTGATGGAAATTTGATTTTCTAATGGTGTTTTTGTTCGGATGTGGGACTCTGTTGACCTGGATGCGTCTCCTAACTTTGGCCTGCTCTGCATTGAGATGTTTCTAAGTTAGCTCGTAAGTCAATTGAACGAAGTAAATGATTAGATTGTGTACCTTATGGGCGAAGTAGTAGGCAAACATTGTATTTTCGACTCGGTACTTGTTCGTAGTTACATCCAATCAGCGAGAACTCGACAACTTGGAGTCACATTCTGGAGTTTCTGATAAAACTTTTGTGTGTTTATTGACTGTGTTGGGTTTCGCGACGCATGCGAGTATCTTCATGTCCGCTACTTCGGATATTGTTGCTAATTTGAACCCAGCGTCTGTGAAAATGTCGGAAAGCTTACCGACACTTGCTGCAAATTGATAACATACATTTTGGCAAAAGTACCTGTTAGGCTCCAGGCAGTTAACATTTCTGTCAAACAGAATCTACAACCATTTCCTCTCACCGTGGAAAATTGTGTTGTCGAGATCAATGCGACATCTATGTGTGTCACGACGGTTGCCGTCGAGGTTAACCGAATGATATTTAAACCTGGCTGGGTCTTGAGGATCGTACGGTCCGCCACAGCAACGTACGTTAGCAACGCCGTGTTTCGCTTTACTCAGGGATCCGTCAACCGCATCTGGACTTTTGTAACACTCAGCGTGTCTCATTCGATTTGTTAGCACTTCCTGCGACTGAGAAAGCCGGGCTCAGCACAGCTCAGATCGAATCAGTTTTACTTTTATACCTATTACCTACCTTAGCAGAGTGACGCGGGCTGGATCCAGCGATACTTGTATCCCTTCTATCATGGGGTCGGGAACGGCCCTGTAGGTTCTCTGCTCTGGGGTCGTTTTTCGATCGGAGCTCTAAGTATCGACCTCTGGCTCGATCTCTGGATCAGTCGCCGGCTGATGCGGTGACCGAGCGGCGCGGCGCTGGTTTGGCAGCTCCGTCGGCCGCTGGGTAGGCGCCTATCGGCTCGGTCAACCCCACCAGACCAATAACTGTCAGCCAGGCTGTGATGGACGCGACAACACTATCGGTCGGAGGCCGGAGCGGCCCACTAGGGTGTGTGGCTGGTGCCACTTCGGGGGTATTTTCGTTACATTTTTGACGAACACCTCTCTGGTGATTCGTAAATTGTGGGGATGTGTCGGGGAAACGGCAGGCTGCTCGTCAGTTAGGGCTCCGGTCTGACTACAGCAGTGAGTCAGTAGACTGCCGACTGGCGCCGGGGGGGGGGGGGGAACGCTGAAATGGCTTGTATCTGACAGTTCGTCATGCATGTAACTAGCGCAGCTCCTCTCCTCCTCATTGCCCTCTTTCCCTCCTTGTGCCAATCTGCCGGGGAATTGACACCGTCTCCATCGCCTTGTTGCAGATCAAGGATAAGTTCCTAGCTCAGATGTCTGGCGTGATCGTGTCGGCTCTGAACGCCTTCCGCAAGTCGGGCTGCAAGCAGGGCCGCATCACCTGCAACGAGGACTTCAAGTTCCTGGCCAAAAAGGTACGAGCGTGACGATAAAGTTTGAACAAATGGACATAATCTGGATTTATAGGGCTAAAGATGTAAGATCTAATGCTATCCGATAGCATATTTGCTCTTGTTTCATTTCGGTTTGTGGGAACAATGCTGACATCTATATTACTATTTGTGGTGACGTAGTTTCTGTCTGTTACCGAGGTCGCGACTTGGTGTTACGTAGCGCGGGTTTCAGGTCAGACTGTTGCACCTGGCACGCTGAAATTTGCGCAACTTATAGAACAAGGATGGACAACGTGCCTTTGAGCGGTCTCAGCTCGATCGGATCGATAGCGAGCGCGTGGCGCGTGCCCAAAAAGTGCAAATTCGCGTCATAGACTTTACATGTATAAATCGGCTTGCAAAATCGGGTGAAAATGGCTAAATTTGCCCGACACGGGTCCGGTTTCCGTGCAATATCTCGGTAACCGTGCGCCCGATCGTCACGGGGAAAACAGCATCGTGTAGAGAATCAAACGGACTATCGAATGGTGTGCGGTGCAGTGCATGGCACGTGCCACGTGCACATGTGAGGGCAATTTCATTTCAAAAAGTGCCGTTTTAAATGGATTTTGGATTTTATTTTATTTTCACCCGACCGTCAGACTGAGAGAGTTAAAACAATTTCTATTGGCTAGAGAAATGTACCACCTTTCATGGAAAAATTGTGAAAAGCTAAATGATCAAAATCAATGTGGAACAAATTGCTGGAGAAAATGACATTTGTCCATAATGTGCCACCAAATAATTACACGGGGTTTGCTGCTTAACCTGATACGTTTGGCAATTGAAAATGCTATCATTAGAAAGAGCATTCAATTCTCTCCAAGATCCAATCATCACGTTTGCATGACAAGCAACAGTACTCTTAAAAATATAAATGTTTAAAACCTCTGCAAAACTAATTTTAGCGAAAATTATCTACGCCTTTCATTTGTCATAAAACTACGCACCTAAATTATAAAACACATTTGACAGGTTTTGAAGTAGAAAGCATGCTTATCAGACACGGGCACCTCCATGCGATGGATATTTTTTTCCAAACCAAAACGTTTAGCCACCAAAAAGCAATCGACCGAAATGGATAGATAACCCAACCGACACAAAACAACCAAACACCCGCCGATCGTAAATACCCCTTTTCGCGTTGCGGAGCACGCGGGTCACCCTAGTTATCATCTAGTTTTATGGTATGACTGGAAACCTAGTTACTTTTATTAAATCGACAGTGGGACTTTCCGATGTTGGCGTTCTCTGGCATCCATCCGTGAGAATTATTCGTCTTTGCTGGAATGTCTGTGGAATCTGGGCCTCTGTGAGGCGTGATGGGAGTATCGTGCCGGGCTTCTGACCCGGGGTTTGTGGTCAGAGCAGAGCGTTGAGTGGTGGCTTTGTGGTGTGGCGTTAGGAAACGGTAGCGCTACTTTCGCCTACTCATGTGGAACAAAACGAGTGGCGTGACGTGAATAATCTGCGTGTCACTCGTGCCGAACTTGATGTCTGTCTATCTGCATGTCACTTGATGATTGTTTTCTTAACTGTGTTCTCGGCATGACTTGTATCCGATATGACTCTCCTACAAAAACTGCCCCATTCAACTCAGGTCGTACAGAGTCGGTCGCTTCGACGACTTGTCTCGGCTGCCACTGGCGCTGACAGGCCGGACGTGCCCCGGAGTGGGACCAGTGGCGGGCCTTCGAGCCCATAGGCGGGTCTTTATATCGGGCGTACGGGGGGATTTCATTGCTGAAGGCCCAGATTGCTGTGAGAGACCGGCCAAATAAGCGGTAGTGTGGACGGAAGAAGTAAGGGATTGACGAGGCTTTTAGCTCGGATCTGATGACGAACAGAATCGGAGGCATGAAAGGAAGCTCAGTTGATCCTCAGCCCAAGTTTTTCCTCAGTCGATACGGTAGATTCAGCTCGGTCCCACGAACTGAGAACTCGTTATATCCCAATCAGCGCCACCTATTCACGCCTGGCTGACGGTATCTGCAGCGTCTCCTCGCGTCCTTTTCTCGCTATGGCTGCCCTCACAAAGGCAGCGACCTTCGGCGCTGACACTGCTGGCTCGCAGAGGTGATATTGTGCAGGCGCGCTACTGGCCGCGACAGGGCAGATTAGCGCGTGGAGCACACATCAGACGGCTCTTTGTGACCGGGACGCGTGCTACCGGGCGTGACAGAGGCCAGTGGTGATAGACTGGAGCGACCCGCCCTGCAGAGAAAGGAGCGGCTGGTCAAGTGTAAAATGGAGAGGATATATGTGAGGGCTCTTTTGTGTGGTGTAGAAGGCTGGCGACTCGGAAGTTGTTTATTTTAATTGAGTGCCAAAGCTGTCGTTTGAAGCTGTCCAAGCCGTATAGTAGCAGTCGGGGCTTCATTATTTTTACGTCCAATATTTTTAGTGAAGCGCAAGTCCCCTGCTCGGAAGGCGTGAAATTTGTCATACGATAGTCAACGACGCCGTGTTCCAAGATAACTTCTTGGGACGTTAAGATGATTTCGTGAAGATTGCGTGTTGGCCAGAAAGCCATTTTTGGCCCAGCTTTCTGATAGAGATCGCTGCACCAGTTCTCCACTAATTGCGCCGCCTGCGCCGCCTGTATCCCGATAAAAACGTGCGGGTAACTCCAGCTATTTGACGGCTTAATGAGTGCGCTGGCAAAAACCGGGGCCCCGCCTACAAATACTGGATTAATGGGAGCTGTATCTACTGCTGTGTAGTTGTCGTTCGGGGTCCCGATACGAGCCAGCGATACTGCCTTGTACTGATCCCTGTTGGGAGTTGTCACGGGCGAGTGACACGCACTCGCCCTACTGTTGCTCCTGTTAATTAATGGAGCGACGGTGGTCGGGCTCGCTCTCCTGCAGGTCCCCCCCCCCACGCCCCATCCCCACCCGTATCCCCACAACTCTAGATACTGGAGGTGGGGAATGAGCTTGACCAACTTTCGCTATTCAACATTCGCTATGAGCGACCAGAAAATAAAATGTGCCGCCTTGTGTGAGAAGTTCGCATCGGTTGTTATTTTCGTACCGTCTTTGGTGGCGACTGGTCTGTTCAAACAAAGAACAATGGGCTCTCGATTAGTCATCGTAATGCCCATTGTTCGGTTCAAATATGACATTATCGCGATAAAATTGGCCAATGAATTCAGACTTCCGCGCTGCCAGTGCCGGCCACACGCGCTGGCTGAAATTATCCAGTATGATTTCATCGCGATCGCAAACCCCGGCTGTGGCCACTGTGAGTTGAGCGACCTTCTCAGCAGTCAGCATGCGTCTGGACTCAAGTGACCGCCTCGACCGTTCGGCCAGTCGTTTCGGGCGGCGTTCGGTCAGTCGTTTAGTCAGAGCGGTCACCGTCCTAGCGCTCGGCTCCTGACCGGCCACCGGACAAAAAGTGAGGCACCTCACCGGACATTCCAGTGAGCGCGTGCTGTCACCTCTGACGGGGACACTGCGGGCCGGGTGGAATGTGCGCGCTGTCCGGGGCGCTGCGGGGAAGGAGATGCCGGGTGACGGGTGTGCGGCGAGTGATATGTCCGATTGGGGCACTGCTGGATTGTGACATGGTTAGGACTCTGGACTGGTGTGGGGAGTGATGTGATCGATTTTGGACACTGCTAGGTTGTGAGAGGGGCTGGTGTTGTGGATGTGTTCGATCGGGCACGGTGCTGGACTGTGACTGGCTGGCTGGAGTGGTGTTATGACGGATTTGGGCGTGGCGTGTGAAGGGCTAGGCATGCTGCGAGATTTTACGCGGCTGTGTCAGGTGTTGAGAGCTGGTGTTTTACTGGTCATCGAATAGCGAATCTGACTTTCAGATTGGGAGTCTTCTGTCTTAGATTACCACAAGGAGATAATGAATTCCGTCTTTATGCAGTGGCATTTTATTCTCTGAACGCTAATTAGGATCTCGCAGGGATCAGGCGTGTCTGGCTCCTGTAACGGTGGTGTCGGCCCTGTCGCCCGCCGTGCGATACGATCTCGCGTCGCTACCTGTCCCTGTCAGCTCCGTTTGCGACTGGCCATTAATCAAGACGTCGCACAGCGCGGCATACCTGGCTGTTGACAGGCGTCCATCACCATATCAGAGAGCCTGGTCGGGTCAGACCATGTCCGCCTATCCCGGCCCACTGAGTGTGTTAATTCGTGCGCTTGGCTATGACTGTCAGCTGTTGTCTGACCACATTCCTCTTCCCACAGCTGACCCACCACGTCATGGTGAAGGAGTTGAAGAACGTACAACAGGTTGAGGAACTGTCCGCCAGCGAGAGCGTCAAGCACAAGGCCAAGTACTATGTGAAGAAGTACATGGGACGCTTCGGCGAGACGTACTCGAAGGAGTCGCTCCTGATGGAGGATGACGCGGCCGAGGCGGCCCACTGACCCCTGTGACGTGTAGGCGGCGGCCCTGGAGGGTGGGAGGGTGTTCCAGAGGGAGCTGGGTGGAGCACAGGTCGCCGGGATAGGTGAGAGGATGAAGTCATGATCGGTGTGTCCTGTGACAGTCGGCAGTCGTTTGGTGGATCTGTTGACGGCCTGTCAATGTGTCAGGCGTGACGGATGTGACGGAAGTCAGGGTGACTAACAAGGTCTCGGGATGTGTGGTAGGTTTGGTCACGCAGCTGGCTCTGAGAAGCCACCTGAGCTGGTGTCTGGTTTAGGGCGGCCCGCGGCCTCCCTCTATCTAAAACACCAGCTCCGTCAGTCAGCGGCTGTCGATCAGCTGATGATACTTCCTCACAAACGACAAAAGAACGACGCTGGGGCCTGAGAACGCGACCTAGTGGTTTTGTTTCACACTTGATAGTTCTATGATTGTATGATGATACTTTTATATCGTGTACATACCAGTGTATGCTCGGCGGTGCATCGCCCCACAACTCGGTAGGCCGATGAAATGGTTTATCAGCGTTGCCCCGGCTGTGTGTGCGGAGGGCCGGCGGCGGAGGCTAGTGTCGTTACCTCTCCCCGAGTCCCGCCCCGTGCCGTGCCGTGCCGTGCCGTGCCGTGCCGTGCCCTGTAGTCCGTGACTGTTGGTTTGTGCCGTTACCGGCACTGCCAACAGTCAGTCGGTCAGAGGCAGTGGCAGCGGCACGGATGGCGCGCGCGTGTGAGACCCACTCAAATGTGTCGGTGCTGTGGAATTGATCCAATCAAGTGCCGCTCGACCAGTACAATAAACACATAGACACCTGGCACGGCCTCTGCTGGGGGAATGGATTGGGTTGATGAGAAACGCGGAGCTCGCTAAACGTAGCGTTAGAAGCTAACTGAGTTCTAGAGGGCCCAAGGGTGATTCAGATATTTGCTCCTGATTCGAGGAACGAATCATAGAGGTTTCGAATCTTACGGCTGTCGGCAATCTAATGCTGGTTGTTTTGTCCATAGTTGTTTGAAGTACTCTTCATGATATTAATCAAATCAGCGAGTGGCTCATCTCATTTTCGGCTCTCTGCTGGGCTGAATACTGTCCGTGGGAAGGGTTGCAGTGCGGTACGATTGACGACATGACCCTATCCTCTCAACAACACCGCATAACTCGGTGCCACTGCCACCGCGGGGCGGAACGACTTGGCGTGCCAGCTGAGCGCATCTCTGTTGGCCCTATAGGTAAATAAACAGACGGTGATGGGCGCAAAGGTCGGGCGTCTCCCCCCCCCCCCCCTCCGCCGTGGCCGTACACACTCTGCCAAACTCCGCAAACACTCACTGATAGACGTCAGCTAGGGATGCCAGTGATTCGGCATGCGCACTGTATCAGTGGGCAAAATATTTTCCTCCGGGAGAGTGTATGCGCGCGCACCGTTGTTTTCCACCTGCGTTCTCTGAAGGGGAAACGTCTGGTGGGGAAAGAGAGGGGGAGAGGAGAGAGGGGAGGCGTAATCCGCTCCTTTATCCCGGGCGCGATCGGAGCGCGCACAGGTAAGCAGCCATTGTGTCGAGCGTGAAAATCCGTCCGGTAAGCGGGCGGGGTGCGAGCGCTGCCCGACCGGGGCTGGCCGGTGCGACGGGACGGTGTTGTGGGGTGAGCTGAATGGGCGGGGAGCGGGACAGCGTCCTCGGAGACCGGTGAGGGACCGGATACCGGTCCCAGGGTCCTACTCAGAGCCTATGGTGCCACTGAGATCGCCATGGATTTCCCTGTCAATGGAGAGTAAGGGGCTGAAGTTTATCGTGCCTTCTCTTCTCGGCTTTCGGGGCCACAGGTTTTAGGTGTGGGGATCTGTTCTGGTAGGCCCATCGATATTTCTTTATCGGTCTACAATCCAGCTCTCTCTCTCTCTCTCTCTCTCTCTCTCTCTCTCTCTCTCTCTCTCTCTCTCTCTCTCTCTCTCTCTCTCTCTCTCTCTCTCTCTCTCTCTCTCTCTCTCTCTCTCTCTCTCTCTCTCTCTCCCTCTCTCTCTCTCCCTCTCTCCGTTCCTTCCCTCCCTCCCTCTCTCCTCTCTTCTCTCCTAGTCCTTTCCATGGTTATCCAAGGCCATTTCTTCCTCCAGCATGTCTCTTCTGTTCCAGCGCTAGATAATCCTGATTCCTGAACCTGACACGCGAAACCTCGGGCACAACTGCCGCCGTTTTTACTTTTATGCGGCTGTCTGTGCTGAGTGTGACACACCGATGACAACTTCAGCGCACGTCAGCGCCACCTAATGAGCCACGAAACTGGCGCGTCAGCGACGAACCGTGGCGAGCACGCGGAGCGCGCGAGCGACAGCTGTCGAGAGGTGTTGGCCGGGATTCTATGACCGTATGTCAGCTCGACACGGCGTATGTCGGAAGTGTCACTTCGACATGACTGATGTCCCAGAGTGGGCCGCTGATGAAATTGTGATGATGATAATTAGAAGGTTGCCGTTTTGAATTTTGCATCATTAACGCCCATTGCCCAAGATGCTTCATGCCGATTGTGAAGTTAGACACGTGAGGTGCTGGATTCCTCCTGTATGCATTTGAACTTTAAATGAGCCTGGAAATGCACATTGCACATTGGTATAGACCGCACTCATGTGTGAAGCGGTTATAGATAATGCCTTTGTGGTAAACGGTTTCATATCCTTTCGTCGACCGTATGTTTGTCTTTGCCACAGTGACGGTTCTTATCGCTACAGATGGCCGACGTCTGGAATGTTTATCTCACAGTCTGAAGTGGACATCGGTTGTCTGGCGGCCCATCGCCACCAATGTGACAGCGAACCCATCTTTGCTCTACCGCATACACAGTGTCCGTCTCATCTATGTAGGACGTAAAGGTAGCGTATAGGTAATGCCTTCGGTAGGCCATACATGACCTGTGGAAGCTATGGTGTACCTAGCTCAGCGCCCCAATTTTGCACTATCCACCGCCTGAGCAAGCATTGAGCTCATGCGCTGGACGTTTTCCCATCCGGAGCTGCGCTGCTCGCCTTGGACCATTATCGTACGCCCCGGATGCGCCTCGTGCAGAGTCGTGCGCAGGAGTCACGATCAACGGATCATGGGCACGGTCAGACCCCGGGGCGATGAGAGGATGAGGCGGGTATCGACATGAGGGTGGACGGAGCGAATAGTTCCTCGCTTCACTTGGTGGAGATTCTGGTGGGAACTGGAAAGGCACGGCATAAGGCGTGCACTGTGTGTTGAGATGCTGGCTCTGCAGTGTTGCAAGCTCTGGTCGATGTCGACAGTCAATCTTCTCCATTCTAACCTCCTCGATTGACAAGCGACGCCACTATTGACGACAGAACCCTTCACGATCTATTAGCGCAGGAGGCGCCGTTGTCGCCGCTGGCAACACTCGTCGACAGACGTCGGTATGATGAATGAGCGCCGCTGGAGCCGGGGAGGCGGCGGCGGCTCTGGACGCCTGCCCGGCCGTTACGTTGTGTTCGCCGTCTGCATTGGAGCATGGCGGTCGACCGGGAGGCGACTGAGCGGCGACGTAGCGGTCTGCACGTGCAGCAGCGGTCCTCTGTTTGCCCACAGAGCAAACAGAGCACGGCTGGCGCACAGGCGCCCGCCCGCACACACACACACACCAGACCAGACACGCATACGCGAACGGTGTAATATGCGAGCACACGCTCACGTTCTGTAGTCTGTACCCGTCTCTTCGGTGCTCTATGCACTAAGCTGAGTAGCATACGACTCGGGCAGGCTGCAAACTAATCTCACAAGCTAGATGATTTTTACAGCCTATATGTAAGCTAAGCTCACGGTAAACTACTAAAGCAATTGTTGTTCCCCAGGCGGCTTTCAGTTTGCTTTGACATACAGCGGCGCCTAAGCAGATAAATGGTCAACGTAAGCCTGGCTTAAGTTGCAGGGGCCAGGGACTCTAATATTAGCCTCTCATTTTTACTGGCTGCTCTGCATAATCTGCCGTCCCTGGACCCTGGCCGTGCGAGCTCGACTAGTTTCGACTTCTCGACTCTCGAGCCTGCAGAGCGTGCTGGTCCGTGATCACTGACCTTTGACCTCTGCGCGCAGTCTACATGCGCACCGGCTTTGAACGTATATCCAGTACACAAACCCGAGACCAGTTTCTGATCTGTTCCTATCGTTCTACTCCTAATACAGAACGGAACAAAATAGAAGCTCCCGAATAGTTGATGGTGGAAGCCAATAGCGAGTTACCCGTCTTCCCGGTCTGGCTCCGCTCTTCATCTTCTTTATCACCAGCAGCGGCACGCCTGGTGAGGACTCTAAATGGCTCGATTGACTTATCCTTCCCTACACATACCCCAGCCGATGTCAGTGCTCAGTCCCACCCTCTGGCTCTCCAGTGTTCATGTTCCATCCATGTCCGTCCGCTTCATCACAGAGGCCTGCTGGGCTGTACAGACCTGTGTATTTGCCTTGTGTTCCAGACCAATACAGTCAACACACTATTGGCATTAGAACGACACTCGAGACTCGGTAGAAAGCGGTAAGAACCGCAGCACACGAACACATACGTCTTCATCCGTCCAAACGCACATCAAACAAATACGCATCCATTCCAATGTCTCAAGCACACGCATACATAACCCAGGCGAGCGCCCCATACGCAAATACACAACATTCTAGAGCAATAATTAACACACATCCATCGCTCACACACAAAAACTAGGAGATTCTGTCACAAATTAAATATGTACATAAATACAGATGGGGTTTGTCGGCGCCTAAAACCCGGTGTCAGACATTACGGTATCGAACGGGCTAACGCCCATCACCGCCGAGAATTGTCGGACGTCGACGGCCCAGTCCAGCGCATAAATAACACTCAGTCCAGGCTATATATTCAGGATTCCGGATACCGGCGGGATGTAGGTACCAGATACCCCGCAGCGGGTAGAGGACGAGAGAGGGAGAGAGTGGAGGATGACGGGAGAGTGAGGAGCCGTATATGGTACGACAAGCGGTCCACCACGTCCGATTGCTCTCCCATATGCACACGTATACACGTATACAAGCATACATCGACCTCGCACGTGCGTCGTCCAGCGCAGTTGCGACGCGCACTCACGTATACTGCACGCGCACATATGCGCCCGTAAAAACAAACATTTCGGACGCTGGGGCGAGGCAAAAAGAAACGACAAAACAACGGCGAAATCGACAACGATGAACAATAGTACAAACGACTGGTATAAAACGTGAAAATCGGCACACTTAGCCGAGCACTGGTGGGTCTAGTGACCCTTTTGACTCGGCCTATAACCGACATAGCCTTGTAGGTCATTCAATGGCCTGAAGGAGGCCCACCACAGTCCAAATGGACCTCGAAGGATTCCACTCGGATTCACCAGACAGTGGACCCCGCGGATCCCACAGCAGGTCACACGGCGGGCGTGAATAAGTCACAACACTCTGTCCTCCCGGCCGCGACGCTTGGGCGCCGTGAGAGGTGACGGCGGCACACCAATGGTGACGCTGCAGTCACCAGTGTCCGATGACCAGTGACCAGTGAACAGGTGACCCATGGTAACACCAGACCCGAGAGTGTCTCATCAGGAGCACAACGCTATGAGAACAGGGGCGCAGGAGACAACTTCCAGCGGCGATACAGCATATGCACCACGTTTACGTCTGACCAGAGTTTGGCCTAGACGTTCAGGTCCGCAGGCAGCGTCTCCTGCTTCGTCTGTGAGGCTGACACTGCCGTGGCCTTGGTACTGGGCGGTCGAAGATCCAGCAGTCTGGAGTCAGACCGGATACAGGCGTCCTCCAGCCGTGG